AGGCACAAGGACCGTGTTTCCCGGGCACTTTCCCGGGGAGCCCGCGGTCACTCACCGGGCCTGGACGGGCTCGGTACCAGCTGTGCGTCCCGCCAGCCTCCCACGCGCCTCCATTGGAGCGACCCGAAACAACGCGCCAGTTCACAAATTCACCTACACGTGCGTCTCTTCCCCGGTTCCTGCCTGCACACCCGATCCGGACCCCACGGGGCACCCAAGCAAAGCGAGAAGCCCCGCGGCTGCTGTAGTCCGTGTGGACACGAGCACGTGCACGGCCTGGCTCATGGAGCCCCTTGAAATGTGCCAGGACTGCTGAGAGGGAGACCTGTTTCCACAAAGCACTCCGATTTTAGTCCTCTTCCCATCTCCTTCCAAGGTCTGGGCTGGACTTCTGTTCGACACATCCTCTCTCAAGCTTCTCACACCACCAGGAAAAGCTGGCGAGGCAGGAAACGGGAAGCTGGCATTACCAGCCTTTGGGCAGGACCTTGCTGACCAGTGCCAACCAGCCCCACGGACACCCATGTCAAGTGTACACCAGAGGTGTTCTGCTCTGGGTTCCCTTGCCTTGAATATCTGAACATTATTAGCTAAAGGTAACAGAAAACAAAAGTTCACTTCTGCTAATTTTCCTGCCTCTCTCCTCAAAGCCGGTCATTAATCAGAAGGGATGTGTGGTGATCCTGGTAGATCAAGCTGGTCTGAACTGGTGATATGGCTGTGTAGACACTGTAGGAGGATCTAAATACCTGGGAAGCCAGCAGTTGCACTGAAGTACTTAGGTGTGATTTCAACCATTTTCAGGAACGCAGGAAGCAACCAGCGGCTGCAGAAGGTCTGCAATATGTAGCTGATGCATTCCAGATGTCTGCACAGTGGTATGTGGACAGGCAGAAGGTCAACAGCACACACTGACAAACAATGCCAGTGCTGAGAAGCGACTGGAGCAGACTGGAACCAACACTGAACCCTTGTTTAGAGGAGTTAGGTTATGAAATCCAGCTGGGAGAACTGCAGAGATGAACTCCCAACCATCACACGGAAGAAAAGAAACAACAGGCAATTGCCATAACAACACTTTTTGACTGTAAGCCTAAGTATTTCATACTTCCATAGGAACTGGCATTTCCTTCGTTATCCCACTTTACTCCCCTTTTGTTTGTGTTCAGCCAAATTTCTGAAATAGCCACAAAATTAATTTTGAGCATAACTTTTACCTAACGGGTGAGACAAATGGTTTTCTCAGAGCACATTTAACATATTTTCCATAGGTTTACACCAACCAACATCTCAAACTCGGAACTTGACACATTTATTTACTCTTCTGAATTGACAGATTCAAGTTCATACTTTTAAGGGCCGTTTATTAAACGCAGTTAACATGACAAATATAGGCTCCCCATATTTGTAAAACTGTATCCTAAGTCCATATCTATAGTTTAGCTCCGTATTCACCAGGGTATAAACACAATCAGAATAAGGCAAACAAAGGGCTTCCAGCAACATCTTGTATCTTGTTGCACCTGAGAAATCATCATGCCCAGTATCTTATAAGGCATTTTTCCCTATGATCAGTAAAGCAAATTTAAGCTAACGGTAAAGTCTCTGAGAATACTCTGACATCTGAAACAATAAGAATTTGCTTCAACTTCTTTCTTTATACAGAGCTGAGCAGAACTTTTTAATTTACTGCAGACATAAAATCTGATTTTTATGTGAAGTATGTGCAGTCAGTCTAGTCTAAAACATTTGTATGGCACATACAAACTCATATTTAACTTTTATTTTATTTCAACCGAAGTAAATTTAATTCCACCTTTCATCAGAAAAATCTGAGATAATCAACACAGAAGCCATTTCCACAATTACTCACTTTGTCCTTCACTAAACCATACGCATAACCTGTGTCTTGGGCTATTCATATCAGAACAATGATGAGGAATATTTTCTAAGTATTCCAACAATGCTATTTCAGCTTTCATATTAATGAAAAACTCTCCATGGAGTGGAGGACAAATCCCCTCAGAATGAAAGTTCGGCTCTGATACACTTAGCAACTGGACACTTCCATATACACAAAAAATTTAGGCAAAGGACAACGGAAATACAGGAACTGAGGTGTGGAAAAGCTGTTAACCATTCTGCTCACATGCAAAAGGGAGAAGAACAGAGAATCAGTGACTTTCTCTAACACGTGGGTCCTCTTCTGATTCTCCGTAACATCCTTCCACACCCCAGCAGCACAGTGGAGAAGGCGCCTAATCCCACTACAAGGCTACTAAACACTGAGAAGTACTCATTTTCAAGGAAGCCATGGTACATTTCCTCAGCTGTAATTCATCCTTCTTCTCACACCTCAGAGAAAGGAGGTTTTATTAAGTAGCATTTTCCATTCCAACAGACAGGAATCAGGAAAAAGGCCTGTACTTGCATTCAGCGTTTTAAAACACAAATCAGTGACTGGCCAGTACAAGTATTACTACACAAGAAATCAAGTCACTCAAATCCTCTTCATTGTGGAGAGGGGTGAGACTGTGAAGGTTCACAGAATGCTGAGAAGGGGAAAAGGGTCAAAAGCAACATTCAAGGCATACACAAACTGAAGAAATAGGTGCTTTGAAGTCTATACTTTTCCTACCTTTACTATGTGCTATGATATGGAGATAAAAGCCAGTGTGTGTGGGGAAAGTCTTCGCCCAGTGAACTTTTTCTAAACTAAGTTCCACAGTTTTGTTTTTGTTATAAAAAGTAATTTATAACTTAATACCTGTTTCAGGATTCTCAGATCTGTGTTGTTGTTAACATTGCACTTAATTGGCATTATCCATTTTTAAAAAGAAATTAAAAAGCAGCTCTGAACTTTGCTTCTGAGATGGAAGCGCTGTCTCTGAACCAACAATGATTCCTGTCACTCTTGCTTTGTATCTTTCAAGGCCTGAAGTCTTTCTAAGAGGGGCGGATGCGAGTAGTGCCACATTGAAAAGATCCAGTCAGAAACAGGGAATCCTAAATTATCTTTGTTTAGCTTGATCAAAGCAGAATATAGGTCTTTGGCCTTCCCAAGTTCCTTGGCAAATGCATCTGCTTGAAACTCAAATCGTCGGCTTAACACAGTCAAACAAAATGAGAGAACCTGGGGAAAGAAATATATTAAAAATTATTTTAGAATTCAGCTATCTGCAAGTTCCTTACAGTTTCAGTAAATTGTAATTACTGGATGTTCCTTCCCACATCCCACACATCACTGTGGCTGTAGAGTGATCTCACCAAGATTTACCCAGGCCACACCTGAAACTCGGAGTCTTACCCAACACGGAGCACTAAGCCTACTTGTTAAAATGAGATACCAGCCAGAGCCCCTAGAAACGTCAAACTTTCCCCCCAGTCAAAATAAAATCATTATTTAAACAGGATGATACTTTAGTATCTATGTCTTGAAAACAATTTACCTCATTGTAAGGTGAAAAAATGAACTGGAAAATAATCATCAAGCCTATCAGGGTCGGCTGGGTGTCATAGAACCCAAATGCAGCAAAGAGTTCTTTTCGACCAATTAACACAGCAAACAAGAAGAAGCAGAGGAAGGAATTCATCTAGAAAAAGGAAACAACATTCTTGATTAAGATGAGTTTTTCATCTGAGTCTATAACATGGCCTATTCATATTAGATTTGCAGAGAAATGCCACTGAAAAAAAAAATATAGATTACTTTAGAACTAATATACAAAGAGGAACAAACAGCTGGCCTTCACCTGCTTTCTGTAAATGCAAGCAGTAAAGAAACACTTATTATTTTCTGTCAGTGAGCTAAAAAAATGTCTTAAGTAGTGAAAGAATAGGAAAAGGCAAGAAGTCAAGATAAGTGAGGAGGGAGTACAGGGTAGAATCCATTTCCTTGGAATTAAGCACAGGTTCCAAAAAGCTTAAAACCAAACAAAACGTGCAGTGTCCTACTTCTGTTCCTGGAAACAATTCAGGCTTCCATCTAAGCCATGCATACTGTGTACAAGCACTGTGCTTGCCTGGCTTTTCATAGGCAAGAAGCAGGACCATGCTTTAGGAAGTTTTCTGGAGATGGTGATTAGTACCTTTTCAATCAATTCAAGTGGCTGTTTGGTTTTTTTAGAGTAATGTCGAAAGTGCCAGAATCTTGTTTGTTGTTAAAACACATGGGACATAAAACAGAGGCATGGCTGTGGCAGAAAACAAATCAGAAGAATTTGTGAAAATTTCTGGAAGAGAAGATAATATTACAACAAAATAAAGTGGGTCCAAAGATAAAAGTTACATGAGTTAGCAGAGTGGCAAAGGATCATAATAGTTGCTAGTGAGCGGGGATCAACACTGATGTCACAAGCTGAAACTGTCTCAACACAGAAAGTGAGAAGGACCTCACTGCGACGCGCGGAAACAAATTCCGTAACTCCCGGAGAGTTATAAAGCCGTATGTTCATTGCAGCGCTGGGTGCCAGGGGGATCTCTCTCCACAAACTTGCACACCTCTGGCAAAACAAGTGCCTATTTATGATGACCACATGGTCATTAACAGTTCCCGTTACCTTCTTTGCTCCTTCTCAGGTCGCTCCTCACGGAGAAGAGGGTTCCCGGTTAACAGTTCCCGTTATCTGTATGGCTCTAGATGGCTACTTGTCTGCTCCTCCTCAGGTCAAGCTACCCCAATGTCAACATTCAGGAGCCTCTTACCTATATCATATTTTGGTAAACTATTTGCTGCGTGGCAATGCCTGACTGTTATTTTCCATCTCAACTGAAGCGTTCAGTTGCATGGGTAAGCAAAAGCCAGTGTGGAAATGGAAAGATAGATATTTTCTTAAACAGGAGCTTGATAATGATGTTTACAGCCTGAAAAGCTTGCAAGTAGCCTTAAAAAAAGAACAGAATAGCATTCCTGGAATGGTGCATACATGTCAAGAAAGACAGAGTTACAGAAGGTACATAGGGCAGCTAAGAGAAACAACAACAGGCTAGGAACTGGGAGAAAAGAAGGGTGACTGATACCTAGAACCAGACAGATCTACACCAAAGCATACAGTAGACTGTTGATAGTAATTTAACAGAAGGCACATAGCTGTGCCTTGCAAATAAAAGAATTTGAAGCAGGAGGTTTGGGGGAGGAGTTCCCTTGCATTGTGCAATGCCCAGCGGCACACGCAGAGTGAACAGACCATCAGACCTTTTCTACTAAGGCAGGTTGGGCAATCTCTAGAGCCTGCTTCAACATCCACCTCCATTTGGGCATGCACCAAGAACAGCACAATGAAGTTATTACCAATAATCAATGCACTAGGTATGAGAATACAATATAAATAAGAAAGAATGCCCTCCCGTGTCAGATTTCACATTCCTCCATCACATTCCTTCTCAGCCCTGCAAGGAACAAGACTGATAGTGATACAAACCATCCTCCCTCCTCACAAGCAGTCCTCTCCTTATCTGTTCTCCCTTTGATCTTTCCTCATCAATAAACGATGTCTGAAGGACAGCCAGTATCGTTTAATCAAGGACATATATTCTTCTTGGTTAATGGACAGTGCACCTGGCTGAGGAATGAGTATACAATTGTGCCCTGAGTTGAACCAATACCTTAAAAGGAACAAATGAAGAGGATGTTCCCCAAAGGACCCTCGTAAGGCCACCAGAAGAACTAGCGCAAGCGCAGTAAGTTGTGATGCAAAGGCAAGAAGAATGACCTAGCATAGTGAGGTAATCTGTTACATGTGTACTAGGTAGGCCAGATTTTGTAAAATTCTTGTATAAATAGTGCAACTTCTCTCCTGGTCGGTGTGCTTGATCTGTGGAAAATCCACCGAGCACCCAGGTCTGAACACAGTATCTCTCCTGAGTGTGTGGAATTGGTTCATTGCATGCCAGGCACAAATCTGCTTTTTGGACAATGGGAAGTCAGACACATAGCCTCCTCAGAGACAATGACAAACCCCTGAAAAAATGCAGGCTGGGAGGCAGGATACATCTAGTCCTATCCCTAGCACAGGGATGGAAACAGACCTTCAGAGAAGGCCCTGAGATTCAAACAGAGAAGGAAAATGTGTTACAGAGCAAGAAAAATCTGCCCCAACTTCAGAAGGCTGCTGAGATGAATTAAAATGACATCAGATATGCTTTCTTCAATGCTTTGTACCAACCAGACGGAGAAAGGAAGGACAGAAAGGCTAGTGCATGTTCACTGTCGATACAGCAAAGAAAAAAAAACAAACCAACTTTCTGTCTCAGAGCATAAGTATATTGTGTGAATGTGCACTTACAAATTTGGAAACACTAGTAATTACATAATGCTCCAGGAAAACCACCAGTTTATCACAACTTACCTGGCTGATGATAATATTTTTGACAGTGTGACCTAGTTTCCAGTGACCCAATTCATGACCAAGTACAGCCAGAACTTCTTCATTTTTACATCCTTGTTTCTTATTCTGAAGGAATAACAAAGCAGAAGTAATAACAGGTATGACTGAACACAACTGAATAAATTCCTTAATTATTAGTTTGTTTTTTCCCAGGTAACTTATGTGCCCCTAGATCAGGCCATTCCCTTCCACCAGCAGACACACATAATTTCTTACTGAGCCTTTTTGAAGAAGATATTTGCAAAAGAATAAACATTTAAGTTCAACAAGATTTCTACCATGAGGCAGTGTTCTCTTATTCCTATGTATGCAGACATGCCTATGCAAACCTGGAAGAACCTGGAAGATTTGCCTTCCAAACTCCCTCCCTACCATCCCTTGATCTCATCATTTCTTAACAAAAGGCATTACAAGGGAAGCAGACACTCAGAGCCACAGGCTTTCAACAGAGAATTGAGAGCTAAGTCCTGTCTCTATTTATTTCAACACTTGACATGTAGCCTCCCTCCCAAGGCATTACTGTTCCTTTAAAAACCATTGCTGCTCTTTGCAACAAATGCTAGAAATTTCCTAAAGCTATCACCAGGACATCTGCACTTTCAGAGGAACATCAGCAAGTCAGAAGCAAGCAGGTGGGCTTGGTACTGAGAGCATAGCTGAAGAACCTGGTGAAATGGAACAAATGCTTCTTCTTATGACTAGAGCAGGCAAGATCAAAATCCCTTCCTTTCATGACCCACTTCTGCAGTACGCCATACCAAACCCTGGATGAAGAGAATTTCACCACCAACACAGTTACAAGAAACAGAAGCTGGACTGAACAGCAATCTATACATTGGCCTAACCCTAGGCTGCATGAGGCAACTCTTTTTTCTCACAATTACTCCTTCAGGCTCTTCAGAAAGTATTCCATCAGTTTTAACCACCCCTGCGCTCTCCTGAAGACACAAAAGCTGTTACAGCAGACTGCTGATGTGCAGCTGCGCACCAGTGGAAAGGACAACAAAAGGCCATCATCTTGTTCTTGACCAGAGCCGGGAGGATGCACATGTGGAATCTCTATGCGTGCGCACAGATGCACGCCCCTCGCACCAAAATTCTTGCACCAAAATTCTTGCATGTAGTACAAGGCACACAGATGACACACTGACAGTCAAAACATTTCCTTCAAAGGGGAGCTTCAGTGTGGCAGTCCCAAGAGAAGCAACATGAGCTAAAACGCTAAGCAGGTCCCTCATTCAAACGATTACAAGGAAGGTCTGTCTTTTACATGCAGGCAAGCAATGTTTTGCTAAAGCCCTTGTGGATTTTCTTTGGTGCTATCTGCACAACTCAGCCCCATAAATTCCACTCAGCAGCTCAGGGATACGATGGGTTTGAAATCATTAGGGTTTGGGTTTCAGCATCTCATACAGGACTTTTAAAATACGTTCAGCAAACGTAAGGGAATACCTCACCAATAAGTTAATGTAAATAACACAATGAAAAACAAAGGTGAACTCACTTTGTTTTTAGTCTTTGTCTCTTCATTCTCACCATCTTCTCCTTCTGCTGGCTCTTTGTTCAACGCAGAATAATCTTCCAGGAGGGTGTCGAAGAGTACTATCCGCTTATTCTTGAAGAATCCATAGAAATATGCATTGCTATGAGAAGAACGCTTAGAACCTGATGGGGAAAATTTACATTAAAGAGCATGATCCGAATAATCCCATGCACTGAAGACTACATAATATTACACAGAACAGATTCTTCCAAAAAAATTCTCAAAGTCCCCAAATTGAATGGTAGACAAAGCAAATGAGTTTGCAGGTTGAAGCATATTTTTATATGAGCTAAGTAGTGATGATGTAAATCACTGATTCCAACAGAGAAATAACTTTTTCATCTGTAACATGTAATCACTAAAATCACTCAAAACATAAGAGCAGTCACGTGAAGATCTAATATCCAGAAGAAAAGCAATTTCTATTGCAATATCAGGTTCAGAGTGGAAAGAGCATTCTGCATGGAACATGTGCTGCCCTCCTGGAAAAGGACCTGTGACAAATATGTTTAGATTTTTTTCAATGTGCCAGCAAAGATGATTCAAAACAGGTAAGGACGAAGATGTTAGGAACAGATAAGGAGAAGATGAAGTGATGAGCTGCAGATATCAGGCAGTCCCTCTAAATTATTCTTCTTTGAAGTAGCCAATTTTTTACAGATACTTTTACGTAGATCAGGTGAATTGTGGACTGTTTCTACTATCAATATATTTGGGGCCAAGAAACTCATCTCTTTCCACGGAACATGGACTGTTTCAGTTGATTAAAAAGCTGTCTAGATCAAACCAGCTGTCAAAAGTTTGCCTATTTTTGCCTATGGACAGGAGCTGTTGAAACATCAGGACTGAAAGATCTCTACGATAGAAGAGGTGGACTGCTCTGGCTTTTGCAGCAAAAGATAAAATACTTCAATAAGTATTTATTTTATAATAATACTACTATAAATGTATGAACTGCATAAACTCCCTAGGCACAAAATATTCCTTGTTCCATTGCAAGCCAACCCATAGTATGGTCATGGTAACCTTCAGCACCAAACCAAGACAGATCAAAGGAGGACAAGGCCAGTCAGAGTATGAAGCCTTACCATCCAGTCCCTTCTCAGTGAAGAAATCTGAAGAGCCACAAGCAATGTTCCCTTTCATTTGTGTATCATAAAAAACTTCATCCTCCACTAAGTGTTGGTAGAGAAGGAACCTTTGTAATCTGCCTGTTACAGAACAAACCCTGAAACTAAAGGACTTGGTTTCACATGTTACTAAGAAGTCAGTTCTGGAGCGGGAAAGGCCAAGACAGTGCAGAGAAACACTGGCAAAAAGATGTTCACACATGCAGTTCCCAAGGGAATGGTGCTGGCTCAACACTCTTAAGGGTGAGGGAAACGAAAATGAGGGTCTGAGTCTCCCTCCACTGCAGATCACTGCCAGTAAATGCAGACATGCTCAAGGAGCCAGTGTAGTAGTACACTCCACAGCTGGCAGAGTACCAACAACTGGCTCATGGGACTTTCACCGCAGTTACAAGCTAGGATACAGCCACCAATCCATATGGGAAAAACTTACCTATTTGACAAGCCTCTGTACTGACTCGCAAGCTTGAAAAGCTTCAGCTTTGCTAAGACAGAGAGGAGTTTCTTGGGTCCCAAGTATATCAACAGTAGTAGTTCCTGGCTGCACAAAAGCAGAGCACTGGCTGGGTTTGGCCAGCCCAAGATTTCGAAAGCCACAGCTTCCAGGCTACACAAAGCCTTCATCACCCTCTTACAGCAAAATTCTACCATTTCAGCTCTTTATGCTGCCTCATACTGCTTTCACCAAGGCAATAAAAACACCCCTGATCCTCACAGATGGGGCACAAAACCATAACAAAATTTGGGAAAGTCACGGAAGCCAAGTTCAGAAAGGAGCAAAATGAGTATCAGCAGAAATGTCAAACAGTGAAGTGCTCCATGAACACCGAAGTGGAGAGGAAGTGACATGGCAGCTGGCATGCTCCATGCCATATTCCATGACCGAAGAAAAGCAGACGAGAAATTCATTACTAGAAAGTGAAAAAAAAAAAAATCACAGTCTCAATTAGAAGGTAGGAATCCATCCAGCCATACCATAAGAAACCATGCGTGTGAACTGAACATTCTAAGAAGGAATATGTGTTCTTAACTTTCATAGCTTTTTCAACTGTTTCACCAAGGACTTTGAGGCAATTAATGCTAAACTGAGACTAGAAAAGTTAAAAAAAAAACACAAACAAACAACCTTTTCTCTCTGGTTTTAAGTTCTAAAAGTGGAATCTTGCTTGCTGCTTCCATTTCTGCCTGTGCTATGTATTGCCATTCCACAGAGCCAAGACAATGCTTCCAATGAGATGCTGAATTAAGGCTGTATATTCAACTTTACTTTTCTGACCCCAAGGCACAGAAAGGAAAATGGTACAGACATCGACAAGTATTACAATAGCTGAGGAACTGTTTAACATCTTTATCAATGACCTGGATGAGGGAATTGAATGTACCCTCAGTAAATTTGCGGATGACACCAAGCTGGGAGGCTGTGTCGATCTGCTCAAGGGTAGGGAGGCCCTTCAGAGGGATTGGAACAGACTGGATCGTTGGGCTGAGGCCAATGGCATGAGCTTTAATAAGGCCAAGTGCAGAGTCCTTCACTTGGGGTATAAAAACCCCAAGCATCGCTATAGGCTCGGGGAGGAGTGGCTGGAGAGCTGCCTGGCGGAGAAGGACCTGGGGGTGTTGGTTGACTACCGGCTTGATATGAGCCAGCAGTGTGCCCAGGTGGCCAAAAAGGCCAATGGGATACTGGCATGTATCAAGAATAGTGTGACCAGCAGGAGCAGGGAAGTGATCCTGCCCCTGTACTCGGCACTGGTGAGGCCGCACCTGGAACATTGTGCCCAGTTTTGGGCCCCTCGCTTTAAGAGAGACATTGAGCTCCTGGAGCGAGTCCAGAGAAGGGCAACTAAACTGGTCAAGGGGCTGGAAAATAAAACTCATGGGGAGCAGCCGGGGGAGTTGGGGG